AAACCCTTCAGCACGTGCTTGACATGGCTTACACGACTCCTAAAAAGGGGTTGCATTTCTTATCATATCACAATACCACTCTTTGTAAGCACTCACTCGAATCTGTGTGACCACACAATGGAATGGCTACATTTAATCAACAAGTCAGCACATGGCTAGAACAGCCAGTAGCTATACATTAAATTAGGTTTTTCAATATAGATAGGAAAACCTATAGACTTTGATATAGGCCGCATTGCCACAAATAAGACCGAGATTTATAGTTTACATTTCAAACAAATGAGTTTGTTAGCCTTATGTTACGGTTGTAGTTACTCTCGGAGTAAATGGAACGCGATTCGCTACACTTGCGCATGATCTAAGTATAAGACGAAGATCACCGACCTAACCAAGCTCCCTCTGAGCGAGAAAGCTACGGCAGCACCACTGCACTTGGTAGCACTTGTAGTTAATCTACACCTGAGTCGTTTCGACTGACCCTCTATGAGGATGGAGCAGTTTTCTTATTTGCCCCAGGGCATGCAAGACAGGCTTAAAAAGCTGTTGTCTCTGCTCGGTCCTGTGGGCGCGCGACACCTCGCTTCGCAAGGATCTGAAGCGATCAGCGCGTCTAGAGACGTTTTCAAGCTATCGAAATGCTCTGCTAGAGTATCTACAACAAAGATATCGGCGTCAATAGAGTCCATGACGCCACCATCGGCGACGGATGACTACCCACGACCCAAGCCTCTCCTGGTGAACGTTAAGATCCTCGAGGGCAAGAATGGAGAGAATATCTCAGTGAGAGTGGCCGAGATGGCCATGGCGTCCGCTATGCTCCAGACCGGGCAGCAGCGCGAGGCGCTATCTATCTCCAAGCTTGGGGATCGAGAGCGAGAATGGGTACTGAGGTGCGGCACTTCGTTTGAAGCAGCGTTTCCCTACTGGACGGAGCTGAAGCTGAAGCTTTCAGGAGTTTATTGCCGCCAAAAAGGCATATCGCGTGCGATCTCGTTATCTTGCGACAAGGCAAGAAGGAATCGGTGGACTTTGTCAAAGAGTAGTGTACCCTCATTGCTGGTATAGCAGTCGATCCTTTTCTCGAGGCGGTCACAGTGACCGTCTTTATGGAGAGCCTCCGCACTGGCGTGGCCAGAATGAAAGTCTTTCGTGTGAACCCGTCTTCTTTTGAAGAAGCAGTAAATGTAGCATAGATTGGCGAGTTCAACTTTAAGTCAACACCACTTGGTTGAAATGCACACTCTAGCAGCTCGTCGAGCGAGCTTGAGCCGATGAATCCCAGCTATTCTGAGGAGGAGGAGGGAGAGCTCCGAGCTAACGAGCTGCGTTCGGACACCCGACGGTGTTATATCCGTGAATTCACCCGTCACCTTCGGAGTGGTTTTGCCTGGGCAATGCGCGTCAAGGTTCATCGACCCGACATTTCGCTTCTTACAAGTCTTCTGGTTTGTCGCGGGGAAGCATCACCACCCAGTGGGCGCTGAACGCCCTACTAGGGAAGAACTGAACTCTGTTGAGCCTCGAAGAGGTAGAGGTCAGCAACGCTCAGCCCCGAAGAGCTCCGTGCTTGAACACGGAACGTGTATACAAACCGGCTTGACTGTCGTGAAAGCGATCGTGAATGGGTTTGAGATGCCATGGAACATCCCGATCGCCTCCGGGTCGTTGAATAATTATGCTTGGTGCTCCACGATAGAAGGGAGTCAGCTGTATGCTGAGGCGCTGAAGGCGCGGTTGAGTGACATCGTCACTGTTCGTTTAGCGACGGGGACATGTGTCACGGCGCCGAAGGTCCCTGTGCAAGCTTCTCGACCTTGATAGCGTGGAACGCTGCTTAGTCTTCGACTTGAATTCAAGGTATGACCTCATCCTTAATATGGCATGGCTAGAACACCATGATCCATGGATGGACTGGATGTCAAAGACCTTGGGCGCTACGCGCTATTCTTCTGGTGGAGCTTTGGTGAGTCATGAACCCACATCTACCAGGTGGCAAAAACGATATTGGCGCAGGCACTGGACCGAGACGGTCAATGTGCTGCAGGTCGGAGTGTCCGAGTTGGTGAATACTGAAGGTGTATCAGTCAGGAGGTTTAAGCATGGCTTGCAGGCCAATCGAGGAGTTGCACGTAACCCGCTGAGCTCTTCTAAAGTATCGGAGCAGTCGCTGCATGCCATGCGTGGCATGGTCGGCCAAGGGCCGAGGCATCGAGGGCGAGGCTTCAGCGATGCACGTGGATCGGCACGTAATCCACGAAGCATTGGTCACATTTCAAAGCAGTCGCTTTATGCCACGTGTGGTATCGTCGGACGAGGTCCGAGGCATCGACTAGTGCTGCACGTGGAGCGGCACGTTATCAACTGCGGAGCTAGCAGCCTTTGTCGGATTTTTTTCATAACATTAGGGCTTCGATGGAGCAGTTAGTGGTGCTAACACTGAACGACGCTGAGTACATGTTATCACTGGTCTCGATGAGATGTATAGACTCTATGAAGAGGCGACAGCGACGCCGTATGCTAGCTGCAAGACGCCGGGCGTCAACCATGACCCAGGATGCGTCCACCGTAGACGATAGGCATAGGTATACACCCTCGCCAACGGTATGACGGGGGAGGAAGGCGGTGACATCACCCTCGAGGCTATCCCTGCTGTGGATGCTCTTCCTGAGCTGAACGAGATGTACTTCAAAGAGTTCGGCGGTGCCTGGAAGGTAGGCGACTAAGCCGAAGTGGACATTATACGGCCGGAAGAGGAGATCAACTCATCCTCGTTTCTGGATGAAGCTTTCTTGGAGGACACCAAGAGGATGCTGAGCGCACAAAATGGATCGTCGATCCTGATCCGTTCAATTCTTTGGAAAAAGGAATTTCGAGACGTCGTTTCCAAAGACCCACCGTCGCTTCTATCTCCGGACCGAGGTGTGCCTAATGAAATTGACCTGA